AATATAAATAAATTAAAATAAATGTATAATAAGTACACAAACAATTTTCACAACTAATGTTCCTTATACATAAATATGTTTATTATATAATTTAATCAGGATCAAAATAGCTGTCTAACGCATTTGGGACTATGTTTTGTCGCTTTCTGAATTTTAAAGAGTGTGTGATGGAAAGAATTGTTTAATCCGCTTATAGTTGAAAGTTGTGCAGAATCTCGAATGCCATTTACATGGACTGACCGACCACTGACCACCACTTTAATGGAAACTGACCTAAAATAAGATGGGCAACGGAGGGACCTGGGACTTGAGCTAAATGACACACACGTAAGCAGCCATGCGTTAACAAAAAGTGGCGCAACTTTTCCACTCTTCCCCGGTTTGTTTTTCAGTTTGAAGTTCCTTGGTTTTTATAAATGCATAAAAATGGGCGGGCGAGGAACGTGAGCTGCTGGCTGCCGAAAAAAGGAAAACTAAGGGAAAACTTGTTTCATTTGCGCAGTGGAAAAACTTTCGTGCCGCCGCCGCATCGGCATTAACAACACTTAAAATGCCTGCGGCGTTTTTCCTTTAATACAAGTGGACAGTCCAGAGTGCGGTCGTTCAGCGTTTCTTTTTCCCTCAACTTTCCACGGCTGACCACTTGAAGAGGAGACTCCATTTCGGAGCCCATTTTTCCCAAGGACTCGGCTCGTTTTGAGTTAGTCCACGCTTAGTTTCCTTTTTTGCGGATTTTGTTTACTTAATGTTTATTTACACCTCTTTTTTGGGCCAGCCAGAGGGCGACAATTGTAAACGAGTGTCATTTAGTTTCACTTGAGTGAAAGACAGATTCGAAATGAAAACGTCTCCGGGGAGATTTAAGTGCAAACGAATGGAATTCACTGTCTGATTCATTTGCATATGCACAGGGGACTTTAAATACACAGACCACAACAAAGAGCTAAATCTGTTAGCGCTTTAGCTAAGTTTAGTTAAATTTTAGTAAGCCGAGCTGAGCTCAAAAATCAATAGCCTATTTTACGCCAAATTTACTGCCCCAAAGCCCATGAGAGGTTTCTGGTTGCCGCTGGCTGTGTTTTCTGCTCAATTGGGTTTGGACCACTTCAATTCTAGTTGCGGGACTCGTTCTGCTGAAGAGGAATTCCCCCTGATTATCGAGAAGTTCAGGCCAAGTTTGCAGAGCGGAATTCCAGCCGAAATGAAGCGTCAGAGAATAAGTTTGCAATAATTCAAATTGCTATTTTAGAGCGTGGCCGAAAAAATGTGGAAATCCAAATCATTTTATTTAAGCATTGGTATCTCATGTAAATGTACATTAACATAATACCATTTTTATATTTAGACAAACAACATAATTGCTTTACACACAAAAAAACTTGATATAAAAATATGATTAATTTGATATTATGTGATATCAATTTTGGCTTGATATGCGGCATCTTAATTTTCTCGAAATGTAAACAACTTGTTCTAAGTAGGCCAGATCGAATCTCGCTCTATTTGGAATTGACAGAATTTGTTCTTCTCGCTTCCACTCACGTTATTTAAGTCGCCGTATTGCTTCTTCCTCTCTTTTTTAAAGACAGAGAATCTTCAAGGGAGATAAATCGGAAAAATGATATTATTTAATATCAATTTAACAAGTATTGCATGGTAAAATCGATATGTCTATAAATAGCAGAAATTTGATCGCGGCGTGTTTTTTTTGTGTATACAAGCTACGTTATTTGCTTGAATCTTTGCTTAAATCTCTTCTGCAATAATAAGACTGTTTTGAGGTTAGCAAACAATTTTTCATTTTTTGCTGTGTTCCTCAACCGTTTTTTGTATTTCGTTTTACCCAACTTTTTTGGCGAGTCAACAAGGCACAGATAAGTGCATTTCTTGGGGCATTTCTTGAGCAATTTCTGTCTAATTTATTTGGACTTCACTTTGCGTTGCGGCAGCCTCAAGTCAAATACCTAACCACTTGAATTTAGTCTAGAGCAGGGCCCTGTGTCTCAGTTCGTTCCTTTTCTTTTCGGTAAATACTACCGTTTTATGGCCGCTTGAGAGCACCCAACTGCATTCATAATTCCACGACTTAGGGCATATAATTAGCACCAAATAAGTTGGCTTGGCGTGGTGCACTCTTGAATTAAATCATCCGCTGTGGCTTTTCCTTTATTGCCCCCTGAAGATGGGATGCCTGCCGTGCCATCTAATGCAACTCTTCTTGATTCTGGCCATCAACGAAAAAAGTCTGCTTTCGCTTTTCTTTTTGTGTTTCTGCAACTTGACCGTTGCTGACTTAATTAGAGTTGGCTTTCATTTGGCGCCGTTGACTCTTTCCTGCCATTTCCCCCTTTTTTTTGCTCCACGGCCTTCGTTTAACTCGGTGTAATGTAGTGGCCGCCATATGGCCAGAACCAGGACCCAATTGCACTGGCAGCGGCAAAACACAATTACGTTCGCACTCGCTTTTTCGTGTCATTCTGCTTTTCTAATTTCAGTTCCATTCTTTCAGTTATCCTTTCGCCTGCGCCATGGGCAACTTTCGTTTTTAACTTGATTGCGATGGTTTAATTTTTTCTTATCTAGGGCTAAAAGTGGGCGCGGCCAATGGCAGAATTATGCACCACGAAATGCAATTATGTAAATGTCCTTGCCGAAGGAATCGAAGTTAATTAGATCGCAAATTGCTAGTCATTCGGCCCCCAGATCCCTGACCCTGTCTGTATGTGGGGAAATGGAATAGGAATGTGACTGGGAATTGAGCAAGAAATCGGGTGGCTTATAAAAATGTCAGCCCGTTATGACCCAAAATGAGCTTACTCATGCTAAGCATGAAAAACTAGATGAGCCAAAGCCAAAAAGGCTTTAAACCCAATGACAAAATATATTTATTTCTTGAACATTTGGCCACCTATCTTTGCATTTAGTAATGTCAAGGAAACTTTCAAGAGTTCATTTAACTCTTATTGTGAATTTAAAAGTAATATTGAAACGTAGCCAAATAGACTCTAGTTTGTGTTTCATATTAAAAATTAAAAAAATAAGTTGCCAAAGCTAAGAGATAAAATATTTGAATTGTCAGAAACATAATCCAACTGACAGGATTTTAGTTCACGTTTATTGGTAAAATTTAAATCATCTCTCCCGATTTTATAAACGTATTCAATTTGTAAACGAACTGGCCTAATTTGTTCTGCAAACCATTTGGCACCTCAAGCGCCATAAGTAACACAACTAAAATATTCGATATATTAATGAACACACAATTTTATTTAAATGAAACTATTGGGAAATATGACGAACAAAAATAAGAGAAAAAACATGGTAAAAGTCTTCGAGATGAATAATGTATTTTTTGATAAATTGACAGCACGCAAACAGAGTTTGTTCAAATATAAACGTTTGGGGCCGAACCGAAATGGAATACAAATTGGCATCGATGAAAAATCCAGTAGCTGCAACCTCCACTGGTTGCTAACACTAGATATTTTAATAAATAATTAAACTTGATATTTTTTGAATTTTTATGATCTGTCTTTAAACGACTTTTTATGTTTCTTATTTACAGACGGTGGATGCCGCCTTTTTGACGTCGAATTTGGTTTATTTTTAAACGCCCTGCTGACGTTCCCAATGGCGCTTTCTTTGGCTCTGTGTATGTTCGAGTGCCGAGTCTCAAGCACAGGGCTTCGATTTTAATTAACTTGCAATTAAACAAAATTTATTGGCGCACTTTGATGGTCGTAAATTAGCTACTCGAGTTACTTCGAAAATGTCAGCCGGGTAAATCAATTCCCCCGAACGCTCGATTTTTGTGTGTGCGAAAAAAAGGAAGCCAAGCGAGGAACTCTGCGAAGCTGTCAACCGTTTTTCCACTTTTCCCATACATACACTAAAAGGGAGTGAAAGGTGCGAATTGGTCTCAATAACGTTGACTCTACGCGACATTCCGGAAACCGTTGATGTAAGGAATATGTGTAGTTCTTCATCGATGTTTCTATAAAGGTTTACATTTTTAATATGCCGATTTTTTTTAATGTCATTCCAAATATTAAATCCATTATATGTACATTTTTTGTTTAAAAAATTAGGTACATTTTCACCCAAACGGATAATAAATTTATTTATCTCAATGTAGCACATTAAGTTTACCTATTCTAATTTAGTTTCGTTCCGATCCTTAAACATTCTTTAGGTAAAAAAATTTCTTTCTGACTGGCTTTAGCAATCAACTTAAATAACCCCTTTCCTGTGGACCTCCCAAATTGGCGATGAAGAGAAGGCACAATGAAGAAGTCAAACAAGTCACTTAGCTGCTGCGTGCTTCGATGCAAAAACGCTAGGCAAATAGAGGTAGACCTAGGTCGGAGTTTAGCTTTGTCTCTCTTTGGGGTAGTTCGCTTTTTTGCATTTTTCCTTACCTTCTTCTTGGCTGGGAGCCAAGCTGATTTAAGACTTTAACTTGGCCGCCGCCTGTGCACTTAGACTTAGAGATAGATTTGCGGCAGGAAGTCTGCGATAAGGGAAATGGGAAATCTCCCCACTCGGCATCAAAAGATGTTTATTTAAGTATTCACGGACCGGAAGTAGCGGAAATTTCTCCGAAATGAGATATGGAAATTAGCAGGAAGCTTAGGGATTTGCATTTGTATCTATCCCGAAAAAAGATAAACCACGTAAATATATATTAATTGTAATATTTTTATGCACTAGTTCGACGTCAAATACAGATTTCTAATTAAAATTTTCATACTTTTTTCTTGACAATACTCGAAGGTAATAACCAAAGGGCTGGCAGCCCAAGAAGAACTTCTGCCATTAGCTTTTGCTAATGTCTTAAAATTTCGTAAACAAATCAGAATTTCCTATGAACTATTCGAGATTTTCCGGTACGTTTGTGAAATTCTCTCAACTAAGAGAAGATCTTGTCAAAGAGAAAAGATCCCGGGAATGCCCAGCGATTCTTCCGCCGGAATAATCCCCGAGCAGTTGCAGTTTGAACGTGGATCGTGTCGGTTGGGGATCGCTCCCGTGTTCGTTTCGGTTCTTGTGGCGAGAAATCTTATGGCAAGCCAAACAGCAGTGATATAAATCTTGTGCGTGATCCAAAAATAACGCCCAGAAAATATCTGCAAAAGGGGGACAAAAACAGAGCGCGTGCCAAGTGCTCAAGTGAAAATGTTTACGCGCAGAAGGCACCAAAGTTAATCAGTTCGAAAAAGAAAAGTCCACGGCGAGTGATTTATTTTAAGTGTGGTGCAATCGTTACTGAATGAAAAATAATCGAAAACATTTCGATTTGTTTGTGCAAAACCGCAGCCAGTGACAAACGAAAATAAAGTCCCTGCCAAAATTGTTTTGCGCATCTTCGGGGCAGATCAAAGATAAAACAAATCAAGCGCAAATTGGTAAATGCAAAAGCTGAAAAATTGACAACGCGCATAATTATCGGCAATGCCAATGGCCAAACAGCCCGTGCAAATAAATATCCATTAATGTGCTTCACTGGCCGTCCTCAAATATAAAATACCACAACGATTTTCTTAATTAATAAACAAAATTCTCGCTCTCGATGAAAAATATGTCATTTGGCATAATATGTAAAAATGTGGAAAAGCATTACACAGATTTTCCGTTCATTGTTCGTGTAAATCAAGTGCAGGAATCAACTTCCTATGAAGCTCGTTAAATTCTTCGGCACTTCGGCAAAGAAAGGAAATATACAGAAATTCAGTGATGTGTGACGCTCGTAAACATTTCAACATATGTATAAGCAACGTATAATAATAGAAAAGCAAATATAATACGAATATTTTTCCCAGATTATCCGACGAATCGGATTTATTTCTAGGTGTTTATTAGATGCAAATTCTGGTGATCCAAATTCCAACTTTACTATTTAGGCCTCTAAATACGAGGCTTGTACAAGTTTACTAGAACTAAATGCCAAACCGAATCCTTTTCATGGCTCAAAACAATTGTGTAAACAAATTTAAATAATTCGCTCGTGTTTCGAGTAACCGAATTATTTAAAAATAAACATTTCACTTAATTTGCTCTGCAGTTCGCCATGCCCACCGCCCACTTGTGTGTGTTTTTGCGAGGGAGACCAAAAATAAATCCTATAATTCGAAATAATTCGGCACGATCTTTTGCATTTGGCTTGGGGTTTGTTGAACTTTTTGTCGCGGTTTTGCATTTGCCCAATTCCAAATGTGTTTTTTTTTTGTTTTTCTGCAAGTCAGCTAAAATTAGTTGCCACTAATTTGTTGTTGCTCGCATGTACTTTATAGTTCCCATTTCATTTGGCGTGTCAAAAGTGACAGCTTTCGATGCGTCGACATTTCTGTGCTAATTATGCAAATTTCGCCCTGTGTCCGTGCGTTGTACAATGCTGCTATTCCGTGGGTCGTGGGTTAAGGGGGCTTAACCCCTGGGACCCCAGCTACGTGGCCCTCCTGCCGTCATTTGCATCACAAAAGTGCTGGAGGAACTCTCGCCGGGATTGTTACATCGCTGGCGAAATATAATTTATGACAGTGTCGCATCTGTTTTGAAACTATGTCGAAAGTGTTTCGCTATTGATTATGCGGTCTGCGGATAAGGATCCTCTTTTCGCTCTAATTTAAAGTTTATCCAAGCAGGCAGCTCCCTTCAATCGACCCACAAATTGTGCGTTCTGGCCATCGAAGTGACTCCATCAGAGCTTTCACAAGAAAAGCATTCCGCGAATTGTTTTGACCGGGCCAAGTGGACCGGCAGAAAATAAGTGACTTCGCGACAGAGTAATCCAAATCAAATCACTTTACTTAAATTCCAATTGCACTTTCCCGCTTTCCACTTTCCAACTCTCGTTGATTTTCCCATTTTGCCATCTTGTTTCCGTTCGGTGCGTTTTTCTTTTCGCCAGCTGCCAACTGGCAAGTTTGTCTTGTGATTTCTCCTTTATTTTCGCGGATTCTTCTATTTATTTATTTTTGCCTTCGGTGACGACATTTCGTGGAGTGCGCGGACAATGCAGCGAAATTCCGTGAATATTTTCGCTCATTCGTTTTTATTTTTAAGCACTTGCTGTTTATTTTTAACGCTGTGCATTTTGTTTAAATTTGCATTGCCACTGTGTTTCTATCGCTTCTTCTGTATTTATTTTTTATTAGTCCCATTTCTAGTGGCGAGTATTGGTAGCTCCTGCACTTTCAGCTTTCGTTTTTCGAAATTTGCATTTAATGGCCACCGACAGCTGTCTTAATTTACTTTCACTTAGTGGATACGTTAAACCGACGGATTGCCAAGAAAAAATCACAGAAATAGCATTGATTTTCTATTTCGTGTCGTTCTAAAAATACAAGAACGCTATAACAAGATAGCTAAAAAGCAACATCCGTTTATGTTGACTCAATTAGCTTTCGAACGAGTTTGTAGGGGAATTTATGAGATTTTCAGCTGCGAGGGCTGTCTAAGTGCTCGGATAAACTCCACTTTAACACCGCTTCTCTTGTCGACTTCTCGCATTTAGCAAAGGTCAATTTTATGTTCACAGCAAATGTACCTTGACATTTATGTGTGTTTGTGATGCAAACACCCGCATAAAGGCGAATACTCTTGGCCATATCCGGAGAAACTCACACAGAGGCTGTAAAAAGTCGGACAAAAAATGCAATAAATAACAAAATTATATAAAGAGCTTGTTTACTATTTGCCGATGCCCTGAAACTTATATTAAGAAGTGGTGAAATATATTACGAATGCTTTTATAGTTGGCATCCAAAAATATTATTTGAAACTCAATAAATTCTTGTCAATGGGAATATTTATTCGCCTTTAAATATTATTTTCGAGCAGTTTGATTTGCTTACAAGAATATTTCAAAATATTCTTCTGGGTGTGGCAAAAATATATTTTGCTTGGTAATTAGTATTTGTCATTTTCCTTGTTTAAGTAATTATTATTTTGAAAGTTATCACATAAATAAACAAGCAAATCCCGGAATTGGCATACATTTTAATCGTGGTTAAAGTCCACGTATTTACGTATTTTTTATACAACAAACTCTAAGGGCATTCCCTTTTCGGCTTTCGCCCTTTTCCCATGGTATTTTTTAAAATTCTCTTGTTCTATTTAGTTTGTTGTTATTGTGAAAAATGCTTTTAGTGTGCCAGTGCGTTGTGATTATTTTGATATATACTTACGAATACACACACTGTCCCACACACTGTCACACATTTTGGGTTTTTACACACATACTCCTCACGCCACTGGGCTTTTCTTAGCGTGCTCGTAAAACAACATTTAAATTCCTTTTCATTTTTAGATTTTGCGTTTGTTTTACTTTTATAGCGAAATTAGCTCACTTCGCTGGCGTGTCGACATAAATCGAGATGGAAAAGAAACAGAGGAACCTAATTGAATTTTCATTGGTATTTCTGCTTTTATGATTAATCGTCATGGGAAATCTTTCGTTATGGACTAGCTTTTCCATTTATTTACTTCAGAATGCTATTTGTTTACGTTACGCAAATGTGAAACTACACGGCACTAAATTCTGAAAAGCCTTCGAAGCTCATTTTCCATATGTCAGGACTTGAATGACGGCCGCTTGTTCAGCGCCCCATATTTGTATACAAATATTCGGTTTAATGGCAACTTCTTATCACATTTAACATGAAAAGCATTCGCACGAAGTGTCGGACTTCCTTTCATTTCATTTCCATTCACTTCACTTCGATCGAATCGATTTGACAAAGTCCAAAGTCCAAAGGCATTCATAACTAATGGGCACTATAAATAAATGACTTCTACCATTCCACCGACGAGTCCTAAAATAATATTTGAAATTCTGAAAATGAACAGCACATTCATTGTCTGCCACACACGAGAGGGCATGTCAATTGGAAAATGCAGTGGCACTGAGAACTGAACGATGACTCAATCAGAACGGGCCATTAATTTTCGATATGAATTTTCTTGAAGGGGGCCAAAAATATTACTGTTCGGCTTCAGAAGAAATGTTCTTAATTTACATAGAAATTCACTATGATTAGATGACAATATTTTACAAATACTCGTAGTTTAAGTAAAATACTGACACCCTATCGGGTAACGCACCAAACTGAATCTGAATATTAAAATCGTAGTACAGGAAAACTTGTGTTAAAAAAAAATAATGAAATTGTTGAGTGCCTTTAGTTTACTCACCGACATTTTCCTCCTGTTTTTCTTTTCGCATACAATGTTCGGGCATACAAAAGCAGACGAAACTTTAGCTGGAAATGAAATTAAATACGGAAAGGAACTGGACAAAGGAGCATGCTAAATACTGCAAGTAAATAAAGTGTCGAAACTATTTAAGGCGCTCAAAGAAAATCCATGTAAATACGGAGTGCGGAAAATGTGAGCCGTTCGGTTGGACACAACAAAGAGGGAAAACAGCGAAAAGCCCGGGAAAAGAACAATTAACCAAACGGGAAAGACAAACACGGGCGGAATGTGAAAACTTTGGCCGGAGCAGAGAGTGTAAGGCCAAAATTAATATCGAAAATAGCAGGAAGCAGCAGGAAAGCAGAAGGCAAGTCCCGGAGGCGGAAAAACAAAGCCATGAAGTTTCGTTTGGCAGCATTTTGGCTATTTCTGCTCACAGTTGGCGGCAATCACATGCAATTAAGCCAAGTTCGCTCGTGGGGCGTGGCCGCCGAAAAGCAGCTGCACAAAGGAAATGAACTGGAAAACGCAATGAAATTGCGTGAAACCTCAAAGCAAACACGGGTTATCGGGGACATCACGACGACAATTCAGCCGGATCCAGGCAGATCAATTGGCCATCAGGCAGTGCGACGTGCCAAGGCCCCGCCGCCCAATTTGGAGCTGCATTTCAGGCAGAGCCTGGGCAGGCTTTTCGCCTCCGACGATGAAACAACCCATGGACAGACAACCAATGGCACTGACAGCCCCTCGGCCGCAGTTTTGGCCACCGATAAAAGCCGCGACGAGGCGACAACCACTCATCACCCGGGGCGGCGACATGTGGTCCCCGATAAGCTGCAGTACACCCAGGAGATCCAGGTGAAGCAGGGTCGCCTCATGGGCATCACGCGTCGCTTCCAGGTGACCAGCGGACTGCGCCAGGTGGACCAGTTTCTGGGGCTGCCCTACGCGGAGGCGCCCACCCGCAATCGACGCTTCATGCCGCCAGGTGAGTGGATAAAACTGTCCATTTCGGAGCCCTCAATTTAGTCAGAAAGGTGCAATATCGGATGGGGTTTTTGTCACAGCGCTTTTGTATAAAACACTAAGAGAAAGAGATTCGGAAAGATACAGTTGATATATCCCTTTAATAACCGAAGAATTGTAGTAGTAGTGCCATTCGGAGTCATTTAATTTGAAACATTCTGCTAAAAACCGAACATATATTGGAAATTGTCTCCGATTGTTCCTTTGCTAGCTCGATGATATAGCCGTTCGAACCAGATTAAATCTAAATATATAAAAAGATTATAAACGAGTAAATAGCTTAAAAACAGCTTAATAAGAGAATATCCTTTGTAAAAACGTTAGCATAAATTAAATGTTTTCTAAAAATATAGTTATACCCGTTACTCGTAGAGTAAAAGGGTATATTGTATTCTTGCAAAAGTATGTAACAGTGAGAAGGAAGCGTTTCCGACCCTATAAAGTATATATATTCTTGATCAGGGTCACCCGCCGAGTCGATATAGCCATGTCCGTCTGTCCGTCCGTATGAACGCTGAGATCTCGGAAACTACAAAAGCTAGAAGGTTGAGATTTTCCACACATATTCTTGGGCTTCCTACGCAGCGCAAGTTTATTTGAGCCGAGCGCCACGCCCCCTCTAACGCCCACAATCGCCCACTAACAATTTTAAAATGTGTCTGGCGCCCACACCTTTAAAGATTTCCGAGAAGAATAAATGCAATATTGTTGTGTATAATTATACCTATCGAAATGTAGAAGACATTTTTCAAATCGGACCATTCAATAAAAAGTTATACGCAATCAAAGAAATGGTATATATCCATCTCCCTCGCACTCCCTTTAGCCGAGTGACGGGTATTAGATAGTCGGGACAACAACCCGACTACAGCGTTCTCTCTTGTTTTGTAAATAAAAATGTGCACACTACATAAGCCGCTGGAGCCAATGAATTGATTTTTAATGCCAAATAAATCTAGTTAAGCCAAGATTGACCGGTAATAGTCCAACTTGCAGCCTAACAATACAATTCAGAACGTTTTAAATTTAATTTTTCCTCTCAATCTTTAATAGGCTTTAGAGGAGGAGCATTTTCTCAAATAAATAAATATATGGTAGCGATTTCTCTTGTTAGATAGGCTGAGCTTAATTAAATATAAATTAGCAAAATTACTACGCAGGAGAAATCAGCTTAAGCTTTTTAGATTCAATAAAAAAATATATAAACGAGAACGCTATAGTCGGGTTGGTGTCCCGACTATCTAATACCCGTCACTCAGCCAAAGGGAGTGCGAACGCTGTACTCGGGTTGGTGTCCCGACAGGACGCAGGACACATTTTAAAATCGTTAGTGGGCGATTGTGGGCGTTAGAGGGGGCGTGGCGCTCGGCTGAAATAAACTTGCGCTGCGTAGGAGGCCCAAGAATATGTGTGGAAAATCTCAACCTTCTAGCTTTTGTAGTTTCTGAGATCTCAGCGTTCGTACAGACGGACAGACGGAGATGGCTAGATCGACTCGGCTAGTGACCCTGATCAAGAATATATATACTTTATGGGGTCGCAAACGCTTCCTTCTTTTGCACGAATACAATATACCCTTTTACTCTACGAGTAACAGGTATAAAAATGGAATGGATTGTCCATTTTTGTATAAAAACAATCAAATTCATTATAAAATCATTAACAAAATCAACAAAACCGAAAGTATGAAAATCCCCAGGGCTTAAAGTTGGCTAAAAGCGAGTAAACATGTGTTTATTTTGATATTGATAGCAGCATGTTTGTTTAAAAATAAACAATGTTTATGGAAAACAAAAGACCATTGTTGCTTATTTGCTTGGCTTTAATTGTCCATAAACTCGGAAAGAGGTGTTTAAAAAATATTTAAATTAAAATTAGTACACACAATTGAGAGTAGCAATTTATATAATTCGTTGGGGCAGCCCATAAGCTGGGAAATCCTAGCTATTTATTTCCGTAACCTTTCCCGCCTTAGGCAGTCAGCACTATTTGTGACCGCAAATATGATGGCAAATTGCCACTTTGCAGCACCAACAGGCAAACCCGAAAACCTCGAAACCCCAAAAACCCCAAAGCTCGAATGGGAGATGGGGCTTTGGGGATGGGCGAACACTCCTTGAACAGCCGACACATGCCGCCGCATTTCTCTTGCTGTCCATGCTAGAAACATCCCGTTGCTCCTGCGAGCGTTGCTGGGGCACTTAGAATTTAGCCTGCAATTTAAGCAATTATCGTTGAAGCTGGCCCAGGCATTAGGCTTTCAGAACTTGACATGTGCCCTCTCTAACACCGATCCGGCAGGATGTTGGTTCTGAGAGCACGTCCCTGTGTGTGTGCTTCCTGTCTCGAATGGCTATTATTATTGCAGCTTGTTTTTACAAGAATTGCAATGTAAATACGAGCTCACCCCTCCCACTTGGCCCATTCATTTGGCCATATGCTGTGCGATTATGTTTCGGACTTTGTACATGCATATTTTGCTTGTTTAATTATGAGTGAAAATTGCTGGTATTATATGTATTTTAAGTTTGTTTATCAAAACATGATTTACTCTGCCAGTGCCAACTGGCCTGCGAGATTGTGGCCGCCAAGCTGCCAACACTTCGCCAGAACTTTACGCCTCTATCCTATTGTTCTGGGCATAAACAGGCCGCAGCTTCAGCTGTTGGCACCACAACTTCCTCCTTGCCACTTGGGTCTCCGGTTTCCATTGGAGTGCACTACAAAAAATAATGTCTTCATAAAATATTACTTTTACAGAATTTGACAATATATAAAGTTATCTAAAAAACTATCTGTCGTCTTTAGTTACTGTCAGGCGATTCAATTATTTAAATAAAGTTAACTTTGTGTATCAATGAAAAATCTAAAAGTTCATAAAAAATTTCCTAATTTAAATTAGTGTTGTTTCCAAAATAACTCAATTATTAGGAGACTTAATTGTTTAGATAATGTCTACAATTCTATATCTCTACAAAAACATCTACATAATGAAAAACAATTAATAAAAATTCTTGGAATTAGTGGATTTGGATTTAGTTCAAAGCTAAACTATTTTATAATGATATTAGAAAACAAATGTAGAAAGCATTATTTTCCTAATAAATGTGAGATGCTAAAAACAAATAAATAAAGCAACATTAATTTGATTCTTTTGCTGATAATCTTCATAAAAATATACACTGTAGAATGTAGGTAATTATAAATAGATCCTAGAATTAAAACTGTTTTATAAATAAAACATTTATTTTTTGGTTGTACGACTCAATGTGTTCAGTGTAGGTCCAACGTGGCTTGGTGCTTTTGAATTGCATTACGTAAAGACAATAAATTAACACGCCCCAGAGGCTGTCGAAAGTGTTGGCCGCGATTTGCGTGTCAGATGGGCTGGTTTTGTAGTTTTCCGTTGCAGTTTCCAGTGGCAGTTTTCAGTTTGCACTCCGCCGCAGTGCTGCCATTTTGTCCTCTTTCCGGACAGATCTGTCCTTTTTTTAACGGGTTTATCCGGAAAAAATTTCAAACATCCCCTATCCGGAAATCTGTCCTTTTTTCAAAAATAAGGTTTTGAGTGTTATTTTTGCCAGTCGAAAGTGTGTAAACCTGTTTTTATATGCTAAAACGCCTTTTTAACCATCAATCTTACAGTTCGGCACTTAAAAAATAATTATTTTTACAAATGATCAAAGAGACGTAAAGCAGTCGATGGATTTTCTATATAGTACGATTTTTTCTGTAGCAAAAAAGAGGAAAACACTTTAAAATTTCTCAATTTTTACTCTCTGCTTTTTTGTCAGAAAAAATTTTCAGATTTTAACGACTCTTATTCGGGTTTGACGCAGATATTGCATTTTTTGTATTACCAATATAGTTACTTGAAATGCTTTTATTATTTTAATAATTTTAGATTATTACGTATACGCACAAAAATTAACCATGGTAAAATGATCAAACAAAGAAGGATGTGAGTCGGGCGCAGTAGGTCATTACAATTTAATATAAAATCCATTTAAATTAAGTAATTATATAACCCATTGGTAAAACAGAAAAATGGAGGCGCATTTACTTTTGTCCCTTTTTTTGTCCTTTTTTAAAAATTTTTTGTCCTTTTTTTCCCTGTTTTTTTTGGCTTATCTGTCCTGTTTTTCAAGCTGAGTGATGGCAGCACTGCTCCGCCGTTTGTCGCGCTGAGTTTATTGAGCACTTGAGTGCCGTGCACTCAATCCGAACGGACGGCAGCGACACAGCAGCAACATATCGTTGCACCGCAGCAACATCAACAGCAGCAGCAGCAACAACTGTAGAGACGGGGAGCAGCGACATATTTGTCAGGGGAAGTTGTTGTGAGTGTGCCACTGCAAACATGCTGTCGCTGATACAACTTGCCTTGAAATTCGCCCCGCAAATATAAGCCAATGCAAATATGCTCACGTTGCGTATGCGTAATGTGTAGAGAGCCTGTCAAAGCGGAGGACATTCAAACCCGTATGCAAACAGAGTCCTGTACGTTTGTGTGATAGATTTTGTTTGTGCGCTGCGACCAAACAAATACACATCGTTTTCGATTCAGCTCGGCGTTTCCCATTTCCGCTAGAGTTTTCCGAGTTCGCAGACTAGAATCTCTTCCTTTTGCCTGTTGCGAAATTTATTAATAACAAAATGCAAATAATGCTCACATCCGCATATTGGATCCCCGTTTGGAGTTTGCTCTTTTCTTCGTATTTTTATGGGCTCAATAACGCGACGAAATGAAATTTGTCCGCCGCGAATGTGTCAAAGTGTAAATGTTGCATATTTTTTGGGGAGTAGCGCTAGCAACGAAATTGAAATTGGCATTGATTTGGGGGATCAAACCCTCTACCTTTTTGATGAATAAACTTGTTGAAATTGAAATTCTGTACACAGAAAGAAATTTTTGTGAGTCATGCTTTTATTCTTTTAATTTGACGTTAAAGTCCTTTCTTAGGCCTATTTAACTTATTAAAATGGTTAACTTAACTTAATAATAAAACCTTTGATGCTCAAATATTATAGGTAGCATAGAACAACAGATAATAAAACATGTATTATTTTATAATTTAAAAAAATTTGTAAACGAAAAAGGAAGTAAAACTAAAAGTTTTAGAGTTAAATAGTTAAGTCTGATTGTTTTACGGATGTTAATACTTTCGTATTTTGTAATGGATTTTTTATTTTATTCGTTTTTTTTAGTGTGATATTTATTGAACTTGAATCAATTATTGGCAGGCCGCCCCTCGTGTTAATATTGTTATTGAATTGGTTGAGCCCACTCAAAGCATGTTCGAATTTGCAATAATATTTTCAATCAGACTATGTGATTGAAGCCACTTAATTTGCCTAAGCCCCCCATTTGCATATCGATCGCTCCTAAATAACCGCAAAACAATCTGAAGCCGTAACAATGTGGTGTCAAAATCTGTAAGCGAATTGCCAACTCTCCACCGAGATGGATTGGCATCTGTGCGGATGGGTTTGTCCTTCTATGTCCCCTTAACCGCATGGATTTGGATTTGGAAGCAGTGACCAGAATCCGAACTAACTTGACCAAATCGCGGTTGGCCATTCACCGACGATTCTCCGCATCTGCGAGCACGGTTTGACGTTAACTGCAACACCAAAGCGTAACCGCAGTCAACTTGGCCACGAATCGGATACGGACAGGACCAAATACCGAGTACCGAGTGTCCTTTGGTCTCCGATGGCACTTGTGTGCAGGAAGTCCGAGCTCTGGGGTGTGAAGGCAGTGTGTGTGTGCTTGCTTGTTTATGGCGTTTTCAAGTGCCTGTTGACCGTGTTACATAAATACGGTATTGACTTTTTGGCCACAGCGCTTCGAAAGCAATCGAATGGCTGCGAAACAGTGAAAGGAAATAGCGAAATGTGTTTGGCCACAATGGGTTAGGATGTCATTTTGTATGCCCTCGTTGTCAGCTCTCTGCAGGGAAATTCAAGGATTTGTTTAAGGTGCGAAAGATATTTGTTTGAAAAGCACGGTTTAAGAAGCTTGTTTTAAATTTATAAAAATAATACTGACACCCTAGTGCTGTAAAATAAATGACCTATGAAACTTTTGTTATAAATGGTATAAAGTCACAAAGAAGAGGTCTGTAAGTTAGAACTATCTGTTAAACGGAACAGTCGAGTTTCCTAGATTTTTTAAACTATTTTTTTTTAATTTAACGGTTATAATAAAGTTTATAAAGGTTTACGATTTTCCTTAAAATACCCGTTTTTTGTAAGTTGGGACTCGTTTTGCATACAAAAAGGCTTAAGCCGACAGTGGTCGCTTTCTTCACAGTAAATTTCATTGAATTTGCTTTACTGTCGGCGTAAGTTTTATTGATTTATTTTGCTAAACTTTTCTTTTTTTGTAATTAAAGAAGAAATTTTAATTGGTGGTTTCCCAAAGACAAAAATTGTTGGTTTTATTTTTATACCCTTGCATAGGGTATTATGATTTCAGTCAGAAGTTTGCAACGCAGGGAAGGACACGTTTCCGACCCCATAAAGTATATATATTCTTGATCAGCATCACAAGACGAGTCGATCTAGCCATGTCCGTCTGTCCGTCTGCCCGTCCGTCTGTCCGTCTGACCGTCTGTCCGTCTGTCCGTCTGTCTGTTTCTACGCAAACTAGTCTCTCAGTTTTTGAGCTATCGGGACGAAACTTTCGCAAAAGTCTTCTTTCTATTGCAGGTAGTATATATGTCGGAACCGACCGGATCGGACAACTATGTCTTATAGCTCCCATAGGAAGGATCGGAAAAAAAACTTTAAAAAATTCTAGCTTTGGTGTTTTTTGAAATATTACCTTCTACTTTTAGGGATGTTATTTTTTAAATATTTCTGAATTTCGAATTAATTATTTAAAAAATCGGACTACTATATCATATAGCTGTGGGATATGGGTATATTAAGGTATTAAGCAGCCTATTTAGTTTCATATTCACAGCCTCGTAGCTTATTATCAGCCAAACGCCGGATAGAACCGTCTCTTTTCATCAAAGAATGTCTATAGCCATCACCCTCTTCTTAATAGAAATTGCGCCTTAATAATTTAAGTTTGAGCCAGTCGATTGCGAATATTGAAGGGAGCAAGTCGTGTCATCCATAGAGTGCGAAAGTCGTGAAGATTAATACAAAACCTTTGTTCGTTTAATTTACTTTTTTATATGTATATCCGAAATAAACATTATCAATTTGTATTACCCTACATAGCTGTCATAGGAACGATTGGTTTTTATTGTATTATCTTCTACTTTAGGATATGACTGTTTTTAAATATTTCCGAATTTCAATTTTAATTTGATCAAAATCGGACGACTATATCGTATAGCTGCCATAGGAAGATCTTGCTTTTCAAAAGTACCTCTTAAAGTTTTTTTTTAATTTATGGATTTTGAAAAGTCGCTAGTTTAAGATGCGAATTGCGGTCATGTTAAAAGTAATCACAGCTTATAACACTTTCTAAGACGACAAATTTCATTCAATAGGCTACTTCTTGTTAAATTTTTTGCCCATTGTCCTTTCTCATCTTGTCCATCGTTCCAGGTGCCGCCTTGCCCTGGCAGGGCTTGAAGATAGCGCGCCATCTTCCGCCAGTATGTCCACAGAAACTGCCAGATCTTTCGCCCCACGGCAGCGAGAATATGTCCCGCGGTCGTCATAAGCACCTGAGTCGCCTACTACCGTACCTGCGAACGGAGAGCGAGGACTGTCTGTATCTCAATCTGTATGTGCCACACGAAGGTGAGTCTGCCACAGTAATTTAAGATTGCAAAGTGCGATTCTGTCAAAGGCAAAATACCGATAAAATGTCCTCCATAAAATGTCCACCATGAGAAACATTATCACAAAGCCTCGATTTAAAGTCGCAATGAAATTATATTTAAATGGCCACTAATTTTTAAATTCCTTTAAGTTCTTTCTTTGTAAAATAATGCTAATTTATAATTTGATGTTAAAATAATTAGTAAGAGATTTCTCTTTGTATAATAAAAACAGAATAAATTAATAAAATGCTCATTTATTTTATGGCCAATTATTCGATTGGTTTTAATCCTTCTTCTTTATACCCTTGCTGAGGATATTTTAATTTCAGTCAACAGTTTGCAAAGCAGTGAAGGAAACTTTTCCGACCACATAAAGTCTATCTAGTCATATCCGTCTGTCAGTCTGTTCGTCTGTCCGTTTCTATGGGAACTAGTCTTTCATTTTTAAAGCTATCGCGATGAAACTTTCCCGAAAGTCTTCTTTCTATTGCAGGTCGACATATGTGCTATGAACGAGCCTGATCGGACCACTATATCTTATGGCTCCTATAGGATTAATCAAAAATAATAGAAAAAACATTGTAACTTTGTAGAAAGTAGTCGATTTGATTTTGTCATTGTAAAAACAACATTTTTAGTAGGCATACCTGCCGAAGTTAACTTCCTTTCTTTTTTTTGTTTTATTAACAAAAAGATAAACAGATATCAAATTATTTAATCTCAAATAATTTCTTGTAGGAAAAATTTGATTTTTTATTAAAAGTATGCATAAATATGAGTCGTTAGATTTGTAAGACAATGTCATACTACTGTATCTTGCCAATATAATATAATATTATTTTAGAGTGACTTTTTACTAGGAAATATTGTCGATTTTTTTACAAAGCAACTCATTTGAAATATAATATTTGTTTATATTATTTTAAAAATGCCGATACTTCCAAGTACTACTGCAAAAATCAACCCCCTTTAATACAATGATTCTTTAAAATTGTAGAACCTCAGAGTGTTCCCCAGCAATATGCTGTCCTGGTCTATCTGCACGGTGAGTCCTTCGAATGGAACAGCGGCAACCCGTACGACGGCTCCGTCTTGTCCAGCTATGGAGAGGTGATTGTGGTCACCGTCAACTACCGACTGGGTGTTTTGGGTAGGTTTCCCTCCCTTTTAGGGATTTTCCCTCAAGTCTAATCTGTATAAGTGGTTGCTGCTTAAAGGATTTCTGCGTCCCAGCATCGATGCGCATAATATAGCGAATTACGCCCTGCTCGATCAGATTGCGGCGTTACACTGGATCAAGGAGAACATTGGTGCCTTCGGCGGCGACAACTCGCGGGTCACTCTGATGGGTCACAGTACTGGGGCGGCGTGCGTCAATTACCTAATGGTATCGCCGGTGGCCTCAGGTGAGTCGCGTGGATTACGACTGGCATAATTCGATGATAACATATTGCGGACGCTCATTGTGTGTCCTGTCACCGCAGGCCTCTTCCACCGGGCCATCCTCATGTCCGGATCCGCGATGTCCGACTGGGCCGCCAGCAATCAGTCGCTGCAACTGACCATGCAAATAGCCCATGCCCTCGAATGTCCGCTCAACGAGCACGTGGAGGCTGAGGACGATGATGTCCTGCTCGATTGTTTGCGCCATCGTCGGTGAGTAGTCCTCGACCAATTGAATTATTTAGGCCCACCAGTTAGCGCATGACCGATATGCGGCCCATTATAAACAGCCGTAAAGGCCTCTGTTGCGTCCACTCAGAGAAAAATAATATATCTTAGATTTGTTGAATTGTAAACAACAAACTTATAAACTTTTGTGGTTTTTTTTATATATTTTTATCATTTTAGAAACTCAATATTTTATTTAGGCCTATTGCTTTTCTATTTTATTATTTGGTTTAGTTGGGCAAGATTTACAATTTAAGTTGAACTTATCGTATTTAGGAATTTAGTTTCACTAGTTTTCGCACAGTGCAGTTTGTGGCGAATGTGAACGCGTCTACTTCATTTGCACTGACATCTTCATTTGAATAGTGTTTTGTGTCCTTTGATTCAATTCGTCAGCCCAACAGAATTTGGCGGCTTTGTGCCTAATGATTCGGTAAATTTACGAGTTTGCATCGCCACGATGTCAATGAGGCGTAAAGGCCTGGCCTATAGGCTCAACATCCTCATCTAAGTCCGTTCCCAGGACCCTGACTAATCAGGAATAATGACCACGTCAATGGTTCAAAATTTGCATGGCGATTACTCGAAATCTCTTGTGTCGACTTTGACCGGCGCGCCGGTCACTTCTTGAAAAGGAAACGCCCATAACGATGGTGATTGATGGCGGGCATTCAATTTAATTACTTTTTAATTGTATAATTTTTCAAGTTTTGGCTTGAGTCGGTTTCCGTTTAGGTATAGATTATTTTCCCCTCTTAAATGGTATTACGATTAATTTTGTGATGTCCAGCCCATTATTTTAAAAAGTCAGCATCACTGATTTAAAGTCCAGTTTGTGCCATGCCAGGTTACGTGCAGCTGAATTTAAATATGGTATCCACATTGTTTATTTTGTCGTATTTAAATGTTAAAAAGAAATTTTGGCTTAATTATATTTTGATAATTATCAAACAAATTTGCAACGGGCTTTTAATGTTGAATTATAATGCTCGTGTATGAAAAGATTTAATTCAGTAAATGTTGTCACGAGTTATAAGATTTAAATTGGGTTTCCTCTATACTTTGCTTTCATATCCCAAATGGTAGCAGTATGTGAACCATAACGCAGGCCACTTCATTATATTTGTTACCATATTTCCTGATAACATCCTCCTTCGAATTATTTACATTTCATATTCATTGCACGCATTTGAGCGGCTTATCCCATCAGAATGAAAGTATCCCTTTCCATTACGGGATCGACACAAAAAACGCTTAAAAACCCGACTTAAATGCATTTTTTTTATTTATCAGCCTTTAATGCATGTGTGGGCTTTCTGCGCTTGGGTGGAAGGAAGTTCATTTGTATGCGCAGAGGAGTGCACAAGAGAGAACTAAAAAACAATTTGCATACAAAATGAAAAAAAAAGCGCATGTAACTAAATATGCAAAACTAAATCAACAACGGCACAATAATAGTAATTATGTTAATTACGCCAGCACACACTCACCCACAAACTGTCAGCCATTCCGCTAACAAACACTATGATGCAACAGTCGGTTTTATCCGCGTATGTGTGTGTCTTTGAAAACTTTCTACTTGCTTTCTTGTCCTTAATACAAATTGGCACAGTAACTTGAAAACCCAAGCCAGAACTTTTGCTGACGTAAATTGTCGAATTCAGTAGTTCGGAGAACAAGGAACTTTATAGGCTCTACTGGGGAATACAAAATTGAAAGGGTGATAAAGAGGGAAGGCATAAATATGTCATGGCTTTAGTTAACTAGTCAAAAGGAACACTAATATTTAATATTATAATAAAAAAATGTGATCTCTTTATAAATATTTATTTTATAATAATTAATGCTTACACAAACCTTTTAAACAATTTATTAATTTAATATTCTATAAAATCTGAAATAAACTTAAATTTAAAAAAAAATTGAAAAGCTGCTTAGAAGCATAGAAGACATGTTTTTAAAATTAATCTCATTATGGTTTTTACACTGGTTTATTTCACATCATTTTGAATCCGCCAAGCTCCATTAGAATGTTGAAATACCCCAACTTAAAAGTTAATTTCGGAATGTTTTAATGAATGAGCTAAGCTTCGGTTTAAGCCTGAGAATTGCAGCCTCGTGCGGCAGCTTACTTAAATAACTGAGGGAATGAACGAGTGAATGGGTGAGTGAGTGGTGGTTGAGTAGCATGTGTGCCAGGCAGAGCGAGTGTTAAATGAATGCAATGAATTATGCATGAATTACTGAGCAAATGTGCTCATCGCTTTTACAGCACAGGCTCACAACTCATACACACCCACTGAAACACAAACAGGTAACAACTACTTGGGCAAACAAACGGAGAGTCACAGTCGCATTTGTTTAACCCACTCTTGCACACAGACACAAGTCTTTGTCTCCGGTTCTTAGGCCTCCTACATATTTAATAGAACCTCTGCCCAAATCCTGCCCATTGATTTCAATGTGTGCTTTTCCAACTTGTTAATTTATTCAAATTATTTACCTATTGCCCCAGCCTAATGTGTTTGCCTGCCAAACAGGGCCTGTGATCTTTATTTACTTCTGGCCAAGCCTGCCTCAACTATTGTCTAAAATGTATATTTAAATACCTTAGCTTCTGATTGCCCACTTGGCCCTAAAATGAGCAATACATTCCTTTAGACTTCAGTCTGTGCAAATATGTCGGTGGGACGATTATTGCTTGTTATTTTTGAATCGATTAAGGAAATTCCGAAATGAAAACTATGTAAATTTAAGCTGTAAATGCGCTTACAGCTCTAAGTTCAATTTAAGCAGCCTGTTAGTAAAATAATCAAATTACAAATTCATATTATTTAATATATTTGATAGCAATAGCTCTATTAAATTGAAACTTATTTATTTTTGCATTTAATCGTCTTACCAATGCAAAAAAGAAGTTGCAATATCGAGTATACGCCCTGCTGGCCCACAAATAATCCTCAGCCTTCGCACCGTGTGTTTGCATTGTGTCAACCGAGCGCTTCTAATTGACAAAATAAAAGGCAAAGCATATTAAAAATTCATTAAATAGAAAGCAAGCAGATGCAGACGGCTTAAGCAGGGCCAGAAAACTAAAACTATTGCCGTGATAGGGACAAGGCTAAACTGGGGCATAATAAATGTTCGGTTTGCCTGCACAGGACTCGCTGCAGGCTTGTGTGTGTGTTGTTCAAGTAGCTACATGCAGCCTTAAGGACATCATCAATCTTCGTTCCTGCCACCAGCACACTGACAAATTGTGCATCCCGTTTCCAGCATCCAGCATCCAGTGTCTTTATCTGTACAACCACCACATACAAAATGTATAGAGAGAAATCGCACATATTGTGTGTCTAACGAGTTAATCGCAGTTGCAGCTCAACTTGTGACAGCTTTGCACCAGCCGAGCTAATAAGGAGCAACAACAGGGCCGAAATAAACTCATCTCCATATGAAAATCATAAATCACACTCTTCCACGGCGAACAACTTTGCAGCAGCGACAACTTCGGCGATGAAGGCATCTGCCCCAAGACCCTCAATCGCTGGGGCACAACTTACTTTCCCGGAGCTGCCCGAATTGTTTTAGCTTCCACAAATTGTCAAAGTCAGAGGAAAGCACCAGCTCACGTAGCTGTGGCCGTGCGGTGCAGACTTGAGCAATAAACTTGGCCATCTGCCGATGGCCAGGACCCCACGATGACCACATAAGCCAGGGACATGTGCTGCAGAGCTTTCCTGCACTAAAAAAGATATGAAAACCCTTGTAATTTAACTTTAGGGCACCTGTAATTGTATTTTAATAACCCGTTCCAGTTTAGCTTCCCCCATTTAATTGAAAAATCGTTAGTTACTCAGTACTATGCAGTATTAAAAACTAATTTTTAATTTAAAAAATAAAAAAGAAATCGAACTTTTAACTTAGTAAATTATTTTATAATTCAGAGATTTTAATTACAATTATTAAACATGTTTGGTAGCAAATTTTTTTTTTTAATATTTTAGTACTAAAGATTTTTTTTGAGTGCCTCAAAGCTAAACTCCTTTAAAGAGGAACGAAGCTTTATTTGGTCTCCAAAGTGTTTGATGGCATTGCATCGATTGCTGCAGTCAGCTCTTAGCTTAAATGGATTACGATAATGTCCCTCTTGAATGGGATCCCAAGGTGTTGAGTGAATTAACACACACATCCACCGACAGCTGGCAATTTTCGGTATTTTTTTCGGCTTAGCATGTGAATGGATGCCAGGAATCCTTGGCATCGCTTCCAATTGAATTTTTCGCCCAGAGCTGCCTTGACTCAAGTTCAATCCCGGCAAAGCGGACTGAATGATTAAGAGAGCTGGGGTTTTAATTCAGGCGCATTCCCAGAATCACTACAGTGAAAGGCGAACAAAATATTATGACTATGCAAACGGGGGACTGTCATCTGCTCCAAGGTTACCCCGGGCCGAGCTGAGCATGCAGATTGTTCATTTGAATTTCTACGACGAGCACTTCCACCTCAGCTGGTCCATTCCTGGTCTGCATTTTCCAGATAACAATTGTCCAACTCCGGCAGCCAAAATATTCCAGATTTCCTTTCCTTTTCGCCTGCTTCCCCGATGCCTGTTGTTATATTCTTTTTGTCGGTCCTTTTCTTAATTTGTGCCAATTTCTGTGCCATCGACACTTCAGTTGGAGCTCTGGCATGTGGATTTTTATGCAAACTATGCCAGAAATGGCACCCAACTGAACCATTTCGCCACTGCAATTTTGTATCAATACGGGGGGCGGCGGGTTGGCCCAAGCGAAGGCCAAACGAGCCAGTCAAGCGGGCAAAAAGAGCAAAAACCGTAAATATTGCACCGAACGGAAATGCTTTGCAGCAGAAGCAACTTCAGAGCAGAGATCGCAGGAGCATTCTGTATGTGTGCCGATTGTATTTCATATCCACGTGGCATTTTTATGTCGGAAAATCGGAAAAGGGGTTGAGTCTGTGCTGGCAACACAACACACACATTCTATAAATACGAGTGTAAATCCGTACGAGTATGTGCGTGGGAATTGGTTTGCATTGCGGGCTCTATTATGGCTTTGAATGGGGAAAATACTTTTCGAAAAAGCGTCATAACTACAGGAAGTAACACAAGTGCCACTGATAAGAGCGCAGACGTTGATGGAAGGCATTTGGTTACTTGCGAAGAAAATTTGAATATGCGAATATGGAAAATACGATAATAGAGGGAATATAAACCTCAGCGGATAGCTCCTAACGTTGTTATTGCCACGAATTGGGCGTTGTAATTTTGCACACGTAACTGGAGGAGCCATCTCATGCTAGCAGATTAATCCAAGTGGAAGTAACACTTAAGTTGTTTTCGCTTCAGTATTCCATGAAACAAGACTGAATTCATTTCTTGTGAAAGTTAAATTCTTGAAATGGTGTTCATGCATACTACTTCTGGGAAAAAGTTTTTGCAAAAAGACAAATGTGATGCTTTAAAAATGGTTTCTATTTAAATAGGCGACCGAAATAAATGAATAATATAAATAAGATAAGGTATGATTACCTTTAAGGAATCTTAATCAGTGAAGACATCTAAATATTGTTTAAAGGTATTTTGTAACTTGAGAGGTCAAATCCTGTTCACACTTGTACTCCTCACAGTTTCGCCACTAAAAAGCGGCCTGCCACTCCAGATCCTCTTAATTCTCTGCGTAGTAATTTGGCAATGCCCTTAAGACCATATGTGTATCTTATAGGCCATCTCGTTTCGCTTTATGGGGGCCACGTGTGTGCGGTACGTGCGAGCGACTGTCCAGCAACAAATCACACATAAAATTTATTAGAAATTTCAAATCAAAGTGAAAAGTGACCGCTGTCAGCCGGCAGTTCCCGGTTCAGAATATCCAGAATATATATATCCATCTACTGCCACATTTATACCCAACTCGTTTGCGAGACCTTTTAACGCATTTTGTGCCGTTCTTGTTTCTTTGCAGCTACCAGGATATCTTGCACATACCGACGGCGCTCACACAATTTTCAACATCATTGGGTCCAATTGTCGATGGACATGTAATACCAAATCAACCGTACAAGGTCATGGGGCATTATACGGAGCACTTCAGCCGGTTTGTTAAGCAATTCCCTACCCATTCCCTCCCGCCATTGCGATTGCTTTTTCCTCTTCCTAACCCAGAGCAAAACCCAAAGCTAAAGCAAACCTAAGCCATTGCCAATTCCTTTGCGTTTGATATTTACTGGCGAACCGTGCTTTGGGGAGCTGTCAAACATTCCTTTTTTTCGCTTCGCATTTGGCCCGGACAGACAGCTCACCGGACTATTTATTGTGCGTTACTTGATTAGACGTCTGGTATTTCTTTCTTCGATGCGTGTGTTTGCCCTCAGGTGAAGTCAAATCGACTGTGAAAATCGAGGCCCGGGGTAAACCATTTAACACGCCGATTTTGCGTTGGCGTTGGCTCAGTTATCATCAAGCAAATTACGGCTCGAATGTCACTTGTTGGGCTTGATGGGATCCAAACAAAAAACATCCATTTCAACACCCATTGGGCCCTGCTTTTGGTCCACTCCGCACGGTTCCCCAGGCACTATTTACCCATGAATATTGGGTTCAGCTGCGGTCAAACTGAAGGTGAAGCATTAAAAGCCAATAGTGGTATTGGGCCTGCATAGAAAAAAACAATGATATAAGCAGAAATTCAAGAATAATACAATTTATAATATAATTTATAGGATGTTTTTTTTTGAAAAATATAAATCTTAGAGATAGTATGATATCATTGCAATATATTATTTTCTTTTGACTTAAAAGAATATTTTTATTTCAAATATTTTATATTTTTTATTACGTTATTATATTAACGTTATTTATTATGAGATTTTTGTTATGCACTGAAATTCTTTCTCACAGTGAGCCAAAAACAAATTAAATAAGCCTAATACAAATAATGGCCGGGGTCGCATCAAAGAGCTACTTTGAGGGATTGGCCACCGATGCCCCCTTATAAATTACACCCATCCATCAATCAGTTGGGCAACAAGTAATAACTCAACTCCTCGCAGGACTCCGCTCTCCGTGGGAAATCCTCAGGCAGGACCTCCCCCACCTCCTTCCGGCACTCGCATTTCCCCCGGAGGACATTAGGGCACGTGCTGCTTAGCCATTCAGTCAACCTAACACGGTATAATCTAATAAAATGCGTGATTAATTTGATTTTAATTGTTATCCTTTTGCAAGTCAAACGTGTTTGACACGCAGTGCCGGGAAAAATAGAATAATAGCTGCCTGGAAGAGCCATTAATTACGGCAAACGGACAGAGTTTCGGGCGCAGAGAGGCAGGTCACGGTTGCGTTGGGAAACTGAGGTGGAAGCACGTTTCACTCGACCGGAGCTGTTTTCCGGGGCGGTTCCCCTCGTCTTTGGCTTTTAATCACCTTAATCAGCGATGACCGAGGATTAAAGCCTTCCGAAATGAGTGAGGTCCCCTCAAAGTGCAGAAAAAGTGGTGCTCGAGCACGCTCAAGTGTCCAGTTGCCATTCCATTGGCATCTCCATTCAATTTAGCAAGTTTTGCAGCAGCTTTGCATTTACTTTTATCGGGAAAAAGTTTCCGGCCCAACTTGAGTGGAACTTTTAATGCCATGTCCACGGCGCAACAGGAAGACAATGCCCAGCTCGTCGGCCCAAGGGGCTCCACTGGGGCGTGGTCGGGATCCAGTCCGGACCGGAGTAGAAAGTAGAGAGCACTTTTCACATAGACGAGCACCACTGCCAGTCGCACCATTTATCAGGCGGCGTAACAAGTTACGCCACAGGAACGAGGGCTCGTTTTATTTTAGTGCTTTTAACTGCGTTTTATGGGAATTCATTGGGCTGTTGTTCCCTCCACGCAGAACGTCCACTGAGAAAACTATGGATGACTAGCGATGTGTAGGTGCAACATTGCAGGAAAAGTCGGTAGCATTTTTCATATATTTTAAATTATTCTTTTAGTTACAAATATTCGAATATTTATGGGTCTAAAGTATTGCATCTAAATGTAAAAAATTAAAAACTTCAAAACATACGTTTGGATTTTAACGGGTATCTTATTCTCAAGGCACTTAATTTTATAGTTGTTTTAAGCTTCAAAACTAATTTAGCTAAAAAGCTTTTAAAAGGTCACGTGACTCTGGGTCATAAAATTTACATTTTGTCACATATGTCTGTAGCATGAGTGACAATTTTCTACTACGATACAAAGTTTTAGTTGTTTTTTCGTACCTGGGTCAAGAGATACCTACTTAAAATCACTAAAATCAGAGTTCCATTGACTTTTTATATTTATTATTGTCTATTAATGCAGAACTTCCCCTCAGTACTTAATGGAGTTATAAATGCCACTTATAAGAAGTGTATGAATTGGTATACAAGCAAAGGAAATCCGCAATAGGAAATGCTGACTAATCATAATACTACAACTTGAGGAAAGGAAATTACCACCTGCTCTTTTCGCAGTGCACAGAAGTAGCCTTCGTCCACCAGCGGCAAACACAAACTATGCATGTTGACTGCTCCCATCCCGCTTCCACCTCGTCTTGCCTCTCTCTCACTCCGCCTCTCGCTGTCTCTTTCAGTTATGATTTATTATTCGGCATCACGGAGTCAGAATCCTATCACACACTGGCCGCATTAGCACTCGAGGAAGGATTACGTGAAAATGAACGCGATAATTTATTGCGCTTCTATATGCAGAGCCGCTTTGATGTACGCCCCGATTTGGCATTGGCTGCCACGCTGAAGAAGTAAGTGAAATTTATGCTCCATTTTATGACGGTGGGCAATGCAAATCCAAATCGCCCAGCCCACAGCCCAAAGCCCTGGTCCGTATAACTTACTTCGCATTTAACATAGTTGCCGGATTGCCTGCGATCCGATTGACTGGTTTGCATGGCTATGGATGTAAGTACACGGCCATATCGTTCATCTCAATTAGAATTGTTTATGTGGGGCAATTTGTTTGCTAAGTGCCGCGGATTAGCGACGCCCGCCTGAAATGTTGCTGGGGCAATTTACTCGGGCATTGACGTCATCGGGATCCGGATATCCGAATATACGCATATCCGAATCCAGTGGATCCGGCTTTAAGGTTTAATTTAAATTGAAATTTATTCGGCTGCCGAAATTCTTAGGAAAAATTTCGTTGCCTTTGGCTTATTTTATTGCGAGCCGGCTCCTTCAAAAGCGCCGCCATAAATTATAATAAACGACTAACTCAACCGATCCAGATCCTGGTGCCGCAGGAGAGCACTATTATGTCATCAGCTGGCTACTTATTACTTGGAGCTGTTGACGTTCCCGCGGGTCGACATTACTCCGTTCATTTGGGGAAAACAATGCCACTGACTATCTCATTTTCGCAGAAGTTGTCCCGTCCTACTTCTGCTCCTGCTCCTTCTCTTTCTCCGGGAAAGTTTTGTGTGCAATAAATAAATTGCACAATGCACAGCAGTGACCTCCTGGCACCCGGGGAAATTCCAACCCACCCACGCCCATTCAATGTCAACGTCTCTTGGTCCAAAACTGAGGTCCTGAGCTCAGTTTTTTCGGTCGCATCCTATAAAGTTATTTGCACAAAAGATGCAATTGTTTCTAAAGATGCCCACCAAGGATTATAAGCGGAGTGTCCAGACGATGCAGCATGTGGAAATGAAAATCCTTGCGGATCGAAAGCGAATGTTGTATGTGCTTTTCGGAGAGATTTAACAAACAAAAGTATCTTTATAGGTGGATCCATTGAGTTTAGCCAAGAGCGTTTAAGTCGTTCAATTTAAAATTTTAAATTGTAAATGTTTTAATTCTCTTTTGTAGTAGCTTTTTAGTTATCTGCTTTTGTTTTGTGTGGTATAATAGGAACTGAAAGAATAAACGATTTTTTTTTGCATTTGCTTTTCATGAAAGACGGAATCGAATGTTATAAATAAAATTTGATTTATATGCGTAATTTATGTTTAGTCTTTGGCAAACGGTATAGAATAAATACATACGTATAGATCATTCGGTTGTTGTTGTTAAATTCAGTCGAAGAATTCTTAAAGAAACCTAGTTTTTAAGACCTTTATTTATGTTTCTGAAGATTTTTACACATTTTTTAATTTGCTTAAGATCAACTAAAAGAAATTAAAAAGCAGTATACAGTATTTAAAAATGTAATTCACATATTTCAATATTTAAAGCTTCATATTATAATGCAGAATTTACAGGCGAACTTACATTTTTCTATTGCCTTTAGCTAAAGAATGTAATTATTTAATTCTTCACTTTTATAAATTGGGTTATAGCCTTACTAGATAAATTAAACTAACATTCAGATAACAGAAATTTAATTTACAAATTAACAAGCTTAATCTAAATTTCATGAACTATTATGTAACAATCATTGAAAAGTCTATGGCAATATATGCAGATAAAATAGCGATCTTAATTTTATGTATATGGAAGATAAATTTTCGGTTTTTGCATGGTACTAAATACTTGATTGCGTTTAATTGCCCAGCAAATATTGAAATCCTTCGGGCGGATTTTTAGTTTTTATTTTATTTTATACAACACTTTTGAAATCGTACAAAACCAGCTTGGTTCAAACTTCGTTACCAACTAGCAATACCCCTCGAGTGGCGGAAAGTGGTCCACAAACCATCTAAGCTGCTGGCGTTCGCTTGGAGCGGATAACAGCAATAACACCCGCAACAACAAAAACAGTAACGGCTTGAAAGGCAACAACAGCGGCCATAAGAATAAACAACAAAACGACAAACAAAAACACAACGACAACTGAGAGAAAAAAGAAGGACAAACAAACGATTGAAAGGAAGTTCACACAATCAACAACAGATGCGCTTTTTCACATACGAATAACTGAACATGGAAACTCTCCAGGGGAAATTGTTTTGTATGACGTCGGTGGGTGTGGTGGGTGTGGGGTGCTGGGTGGGCGTGGCAGCCTTTCAGGCTTTGCTTGCACATATTTGGCGCTTTTCTCACTGCTCTGTTAACTGCATCCCAGTGGCAATGCTTTGTTGTCCGTCATTGAATTAAATGGCAGCCCAAACAGCATTCGGGCCCTCGGACGGTGGAAAAACGGACGGAGGCAGTCATTGACGGGCAGCAGTGCTTTTGTTTCGTTTCATTTCATTTCAACTCCTGGCTTTTTTCGACTGCGGGTGTCTCTCAAGTTGAAGGATGGCCGGAGTGCCGCACCGGGGGGCTTTCGGCCCGCGGATTCTTGCCGTTGTCTGTTGTTCAGATGTTCGACACGACACCTTTGACAATGAATGCATCTCAGCAGTACGCCCGCAGGGGCCCTAGGACATGTACTTGCTTCAATCGAATTATTTTGAGAGGGGAGAGGGGCCTACACTTACAAGAAATTCAGCTGAGACATTAAAAAATAAAAAAATTAATTTTACTCTTAAAGTTTGAAGACCAAAAAAAAAAGGAAATTCGTTAAGACCAATTATTTTTGGTTTAGGCGAAACCCCGATTTCTATCTTACACACAAAAAAACACGCCGGGATCAAATCGTTATGCGCATGGTAAATTTATTTATACGAATGTCGTTTTAAAAAATGGCATTTCTCTCTTTCGGAGATTCTCTGACTTTAAAAAAGAGAGGAACAAGCAATTAGACGAATTATGTGAGTGAGCGAGAAAAACAAATTCTTTCAATTCGAAACAGAGCGAGATGGAGCTTTAAGTTACATGAGTTGGAAATTCGAAATTCGAACTAGCCTGGAACTGGAGCATATTAAATTGATCACATATCATATGAAGTTTTTTGGGTGTACCAACACATTATATAAGTAATTTTAAATTAATGATAAAGAAATTAAATTAATGACATGAAAAATTTAAACTTTTTTATCCAAATCATATCTGTCTATCCTATATACATTTCTTCACTGTGTAAGAGTATGTAATCTCGAAGATATGCGTAGGTCTTCTTTTAATTTATTTCTTTGAGCGTATCCAGATGGGGGTTCTAATCTGAAATTGCCTTGACGTTGAATACAAGTAATAATATTCTCGTTCATATATATTTATGACTTCCCCGGCAATCTCGAGAGCTGATTGCATTTCATTTTGCCGCAGCCCGCTTATGATTTCCCATAATCCTCCTTCGAGGCGCCTTAAAGCGCACACAATTGCTTCCGCCGCCGTGCCTCGATTTCATTTTGGACCAACTCAAAGCGACTCAAAGTGGCAATGCAAGGGCCCTCGAATGCACTTTTTTCTATGTGCATATCCTCTTCGGCTAGGCCATTTTATCTGCTGCAGTGAGGCAAGTTTTAGCCAGCGCTGGAAACTTTTAGGCATTGCGCCACTTTCAACAGTTTTTGGTTTATGACCGTCCCTCTTCATGGCAAGGCCCCCCGGCTTTTCAGGGGGGATCGAAGCGAGAGGTGAGACCTGTTATCCGACCCCTTTTAGCATGCCCGAGGCGTGTTTCCATGGCTGCGTTTAATGGCTGGTCAGATACAGTTACAGATACTGCAGCCTCGGAGGGAAATAGACATGCACCCCCTATCCACCTGTGGTCCCTAAAAATTAGCTACTCCAACGTCAAACAACAACAGAACGGGGGCCAGACAATGGCTTAAGAACCGAGAGGGCCGGTGGCATACAGGGTGTTACATGGTAAGAAAAGTGTTGGCAAATCGGTTTCATACATTTTTAATTTATTCGAAAACTTTAAATTCTCTTTGGCCCAAGCTTTCTCACTTAAATACACCCAAAACAAACTTCATATGAAACTAAGATTAATTTGATACTATGTGGTATCACTTTTGACTTGATATGCGACATATAAATTCGATATGCTCGAAATGAAAGCAACTGTGCTAAGTAGCCAAATTCGAATTTCGAATGTGTGTTTCCCCCTCCCACACGCATATCGATTTAACACTGGGTTGTTTTCTTTTTGTGTAAGTGAGTTTCTACTTATATTGCGAATAGCATAAAATATTCAGGAAATTGGAACGCACTTTTCTAAAAATAATAATGAGAATAATTTTTTCTTATAATGATTTTACGTGGACAATTTACTAAATACTTTTAAAACAAGAAAGGAAGCTAGCTTCGGCCAGCCGAAGCTTATATACCCTTTCAGATCATTCCTATTAATTAACAAATCGCAAAAATGTTCAATTTTCTAATATTTCTCATTAATTTTCCGATCGTTCCTATGGCAGCTATATGATATAGTCGTCCGATTTTGATCAAATTAAAATTGAAATTCGGAAATATTTAAAAAGAGTTATATCCTAGAGTAGAAGATAATACAATAAAAATCAAAGAAGCTAGAATTTATTTCCTATTACTTTTCCATTAATTTTCCGATCGTACCTATTGCAGCTATATGATATAGTAGTCCGATTTTTTAAATAATTAATTCGAAATTCAGAAATATTTAAAAAATAACATCCCCAAAAGTAGAAGGTAATATTTCAAAAAACACCGAAGCTAGAATTTTTTAAAGTTTTTTTCTTCCGATCATTCCTATGGGAGCTATAAGATATAGTTGTCCGATCCGGTCGGCTCCGACATATATACTACCTGCAATAGAAAGAAGACTTTTGCGAAAGTTTCGTCCCGATAGCTCAGAAACTGAGAGACTAGTTTGCGTAGAAACAGACAGACGGACAGACGGACATGGGACATGGGCTAGATCGACTCGTCTTGTGATGCTGATCAAGAATATATATACTTTATGGGGTCGGAAACGTCTCCTTCACTGCGTTGCAAA